CACAAAAATTGCCTTGGTAAAAATTCCTAAGTCACCCTTTATCTTCTTCACTCCACTAAATCACCTGCAAAAATCCTTTATGAATAGGTTCTATTTTAGAGTTTTACTTGTTCAAAATAGGACCAAATAGTTAATTATTAATCTGTGCCAACCTCAAGGTTTTAATATATTTTTCCATTTGTTACACGAAATCTGAAAAAGAAACAGATATCAATCTGGCAAACAAGAATTCAAGAATTAAGAGTTAAAATAGCGTGGAACAGAGGATTTGAGCGTCTCCGGAAGGCCTTGCTCTCTAAAAAAACTGATTAATGAGTAGCAAAATGTCATGTCAGCAAGTTACCGTGATAAAAAGAATTGCATGTGGCGACCTCATGCAGAGTTCCCTGGACATCAGTATACTACTATGGGACAGAAAACTTATAATTAAGTCAAACTGAGATAAATTGATACACATCATCCAGATTTCATGAAAAGGAACAAAAGAAAAGAACAAATAACCTATAGGTGCTTAAGGGAAGAGACTGTAATGAGAAGTAGCAACAAGAATTAAACCAAAGAAAATGATAAATCTTCCTACCTCTTGTTAACTTTAGAAAGTAATGTCTAAGAAGATTCAACATACGTGTTTATTTACCTGATTCAGACGATTAAGACAAATGTATGGAGACCCACCCTCAGCTCGTGGGTTGAAATCTAGGACGCTTACGCCACAATTGCTCTGAAGTAAAATCCTGAAATATTCTGTTCCTAATCCTGATTGTCGGGGAGGAAAAAAATAAATATAGAAATAACCTTTAAAGAAAAACCTCTATGTTCATAAAATTAGATGGAAAAGAGAAAGGAATAGTACCAATAGCTGTTGCTACAAGTGCCTGATTCACAGCATTGTGCGCGACCACAAGAACAGACCTGCCTTCATGAGCAAGTATTCTAGACCAGCAGTTTCTAGCACGTTCCCACAATTCTCTCACCGGATAATGACCATCAATGTTGAAATTCACAGCATCTACCTGCCATTGACGGTAGGTTGCACCAAACTTTGCTTTTCCCTCATGCTTTAGGAGGCCCTAAAATCCCCCCAAGTAAATTCCAATTAACCTCACAATAAATACAAACAGCATAAATTTTTCATCACGCTGTAGAAAAGTACATATGTAGACTCCAGCACAATTTGAACATTCAATAAAGAATTGTAAAATCAAACTTACTAACTTGAAATGAGTAAAGGTCAATTTCTCGCAGATCAGAATCTGTGATCATCTCATTCTCGCGATTACTCCATATGAATTCAGCTGTTCTTCTTGATCGAATCAAGGGGCTAACATAAGCAGGAAACTCAATTTAACATCAGAGAAGCGATACTCAAAATTAAAAAAAAAAAAAAAAAAAAAAAAAGGTACTCCATGAGCAACAAAACAGACTAGAGTTATCTTATAATTTACAATAAAAGACTCAGCCAAAGTGGAGATCTAAACTACTTTTTACCTAAAAGCCTTTAAAGGACAACCAGGTAATGCAAAATTACTCATCATTTCTTCCTTACAAAATTCTAATCAAAGCTACTTCCAGGAACTAACCAACACATGCATGACTCTTGGATATTTACTACAGAGAAATTCGTTTTCTACAGCACAAATCA